TCTTTGAGTTCCTTCCAGATGTGAAAATCGTATAAATTTCTTTTATTAATAAATATTGCTTGAAATATTCTCATACAAAATTTGCATGTGCCCGAGAAATTCGTATGTAGTCGAGGAATATAGATCAGTATGATGGTCGATGTTCATGTAGAAGTTGGACCTGGTTTAGCAAATTCACATGTCAGCGGTTGACTGTTAAATGCCAGCTGTTTATTGCTGAAGTCTTCTTAACAGTGATAAATTATTGATGCGTGAATGTTTAGAAATCTAGGGGAAGATGTGGTAATCCTTGGAATACCCTTAATCTAGGGGCGCGGGATGTTTACTTAACAGCAATCAGTTTGGTCACCAGAATGATCTGTAACGTAACCAGGTAGGTAGATCTATAGTTCCTTCAAATGCTTATGACGTCGACCATTTGAAGTACTAGGACAGATAATGCAGTGAGGCAGAGAATGGACACCCGCGGTGGAGTTGCGATATCGGTTACTTCAAATGTGAGCAGTTACGGTTGGTATTGTTGTGGCAATGTGATAATGATGATATACGCTATATGATATACGATATGATATGTGCTATTATATGTATACCATGTGACTGACCACTAGTGTGTATACACCCATTTGTATTGCTATGAATCGTTGAAAGACTTGTTTTATTAAAATACAAACATTTTCAATTCAATGAACATGTACGGACATTTTCAACTGTGTTTTAAAGAACACGCTCAGCGATTTTTAAGTTACTGACATTCAGAGTAAATAGCCAAATAAACTTTTGAATCTAAAATGTTGTGTATGTTCACGGCAAAACAAAAGCAATTTTGATTCTTGAGCATGTCCCATGGTACACAAGTGAGGTAGCGCTGGGAAGAAAGGGTCATTTGTCGGAATTTCATGTGCCACCACTTTGGCATACATACAAACTCCTTGCAAAACAAGCTGAGGGACCCGCTAACTGGCTGGAATACTGTGTCGCGACCAATTCATGATTGCATGTATATATCGGTGAAGTCCTAGAGGAACCGTTTAGAATTGGAAATTCCGTCATCAGATACACTTCAGATAGTCCGGTTTGGAGGCGAGCCGAATGGTCTCGTCCAACGAGGAACCTTTCTGCACATGCTATTTCATTCAATTAGATGTGCACCAACTTCAAAGCTTTTGTAGCTTGAAGTGGTATTTCAAGCTGCCTTCCGACATCCGAACACCACGGGAGGGGAAGTTCTTGGTACCATTCAGCGGTTAATCGACATTACACACTGGGTCTACAGGTATAGCACGATTCATAGATTTGTGGCCCTAAAGAGGGCCGTTGGGTTTTGTAGTGCGAAAAGCACAACTTTTACGCTTTCTCTGCAGTTTTCTTCGGGAGAAGAACGGCCTGGATGTTAGGTAGTACACCACCTTGAGAAATAGTTACACCAGCGAGTAACTTGTTCAATTCCTCATCGTTGCGGACCGCCAACTGCAAGTGTCGAGGGTTGATGCGTGTTTTCTTGTTGTCACGTGCAGCATTGCCAGCCAATTCCAGCACTTCAGCGGCGAGATATTCTAATACCGCAGCCAAATATACGGGAGCACCAGCGCCAACACGCTCCGCATAATTGCCTTTTCTCAGTTTACGATGAATACGGCCCACCGGAAACTGAAGACCAGCACGAGAGGACCGAGATTTAACCTTTCCAGATGATTTAGCTTTACCACCTTTACCACGGCCAGACATAATTGTTCGGAACCAAGTTCGTTGCAACAACGCCACAGGAGATTTGCGAGATGGGAAACGCGCTAATCTCACCTTATTTATACCCTTCATCGAGTGTACCAACAGTTAAGCCACGCCCATCCATCTACTCATTTGGCAGGTAAGATGGGCGTGGCTTAAGGTATTGGCGCCTCGAATGAAGGATATAAATAGCCGGCGATTGTGAATGTCCATTATATTCTAGTGTATCCAGTAGTGCTGGGACGTTTGTTGTTGTCATTCTGACCGAGTGGATTGGAAGCTTTTGTCATTAAATAATGCCGCCAAAACCATCAGCGAAAGGAGCAAAGAAAGCGGCGAAATCCCATAAACCGCGAAGTGGAGATAAGAAGCGACGCAGTCGACGGAAGGAATCGTACTCGGCATACATCTATCGAGTTCTGAAACAGGTACACCCTGACACGGGCATCTCGTCGAAAGCTATGTCAATTATGAATTCAT